TCTACGATCACCCAAATGTTTCCTGCACCCCTCTTCCGTGCCATCTCTCCATCCCCTTGGAACACTTACAGCATACTTTCAGGTTCTACTGCACAAGCGCCGACGGCTTTTGTGACATTCACCAGGAGAGACTGGTTTATTCCAACCAGGAGGTTCACAAGTGGCTGAATGCCACCACATTTCCGGACAAGAACTCGGTTTTCGTGTTCATGGCAGCATTCTCCCAAGGCCCCAACCACATTTATAAGTACTTCCTCAGGCTGATCGGTTAAGAGTCCCACCAAAGTTTCGATGGCTCTGTATTCCCGAAACCTGAATTCAGAGAGAGAGACAGAGAGACAGAGAAGACAGAGAGAGAGGGGGGAGGGGGAAAATTAGTTGATGATATCAATAGTAAGAAAAGGAGCAGCTAAGAATTACCAAATACTTCATGTTCGTGCAACAACCCTATGATGGAGAGACTATTTAATCTCCACTGTCCAATGACTCAGCTGAAGCTTGATATATAGTAATATAGTAAGGCTGGTACCTCCTGACCCAGCCATCAGCTCAGACCTGCACCTGGGGTCACAAAACTGCACAGTCTCCAAGACAACTATTGTTTCATCCAACAAGTCTGAGCATCTGTGATTCCAATCTGCTAGTTTTGTGCTGCCTAACAGAGACAATTTTACAAGAAGAATACTAAATATTTAATGGAAATGAATTATCCTTTTAATCTATGCATCATTTTACCATACAGTCTTAAACAAAGTTATTTTGTGTTAGCACATGTGTTATTTCTTTTTATAGGAACTCATCAGGTAGAGACAAAAGCAGATGTTGTCTCAGAATATTCATGGAGTATAAGACCTCTGTAGATGAAGAGATAGATCTGAAGATTAAAATAAAATTTACAATAAAACAATGCAATCATATTTGAAAATAACTCTTCTTTGATTTTTTTTTGAGATAGGTTTCAAAGGGCTCATTCAGGCCTGGTCTTAAATTCATGATCCTCCTCCTGCCTCAGCTTCCCCAGTACTGAAATTACAAGTGTATGCTACCAGGCCCAGCTAAAACTGACTACTCTATAAGAGTGGATGGTTAGCATTCAGAGGACTCATCTCTTTTTCTTAGAAAAGGAAAAATAATGAAACTACTTCTATGTCTAAAGGTTCAGTGAGCCATTCATTCCTTCACTCGGAAACCTAAGAGATGTCTAGCTTACATGGCTGTCCAAATGCAAAACAGCCTATTCACAGAAAGATCACATATATCAGCAAGCTCTACTGAGGCTTATAAAGTTATTGATAAGCCAGGCATTGGTGGCTCACACCTGTAATCCTAGCTACTCAGGAGGCTGAGATCTGAGGATTGCAGTACAAAGCCAGCTTGGGCAGCAAAGTCCATGAGACACTTATCCCCAATTAGCCACCAAAAAGCCAGAAGTAGAGCTGTGGCTCAAATGTAGAGTGCTAGCCTTGAGCTGAAGAGCTGAGGGACAGCGTCCAGGCCCAGAGTTCAGGCCCCACAACTGGATCCCTCCCCCCCCCCAAAAAAAAAAGGATTCTGAACTCATTAATGAACTATTTTATTCATGGATTCACAGCTTTTGAGAGATAGTGGGCCAAGATGAGAAAGAAAATCCTAGGGGTATACCATTGAAAGGTGTATATTTTTTCTCCAGCCTCTTCTTCTATCTCTCTTTGCTTTAAATGATCCACTTTGCTCTATTATGTGTGTGAAATATGATGTTCTGCCTTGCTGAAAAGCCCAAGACAGTGAACCCAATGCTGAAACTTCTACAAAAATGAGCCAAAATAAACCTTCTCTTCCTTTAAATTGATTTCCTCAAGTATTTTGTCACAGTGATGAAAATGGGCTGGAAGACTAGAATGAAAAGGCAAATACTTCAGAGATCAAACTTAGGAACTTAAATTCAGTGTCGATAGCACTAAGAAGTAACTGAAGGTTCTTTGTAAAAGAACAAAATGATCAGATAGGTACTTTAGGGAAATAATGTTTAAAGCTGTGTAAGCAGGTATTGAAAGAGGAGGAAATACCTAGGGCTGTGATCCCACAGAATCTATTTCAACAGGATCTAATCTAAATAAAAGTAAAGAATGGTAACTGAGAGCAGAGAAAAGAAAATTATTCAAAGCAACTTCTAAGGAATTGGTAGTTGAGTACATTTGAATAGACAAAAAGGAAAAGTCAACAATGACAAATTCATAAAGCCATTTCTGACAAGGACCTCAGGATTTAATGAATTCCATGCATAAAAGAAAATACTTTAGAAAATTATTTCTCTTAAAGTTACCATGTGAACAATTCAGATCACTTACTGCCTGAAGCATCTAAGACTAAGGATCTAGATACCAAACTCAAAAACTTTACAGCATCATTAAAAACTGTGATTAAAGACATACAGCTAAACATAGCTGTGAAGATCCAGAATCGAATCAAATTAAACAAGCTCTATGTTTAGTTTCGAGTTTTGAGGCTACCTCTGAAGAGAGGGAGTGACAGAATACATAAACAGATTCCAAATGCCAAAAAGGTGAGCTGAAAGGAAGGTAGTTACCAAAAGAGTATGAATGCATAGTAATGATCAAATGATGAAAAAAACAGTTCAACACATTCCTGTATGCTTCTCTTTGTGGCCACTCAAAGCACAGTGTTCTGTCTGTAGTAGCCTATGTGAATGGCACCCCCAGAGTTGTGCAGAATACATCTGTGCACAGAGCTTAAGAGCTTGGGTGTACATATTAACAAAGGGAACTAGAATAAAATGATAGAGATTAATGTATGCTTAAAAGAGGAAAATAATAAGTAGCTCACAAGGATAGAATCTCACTCAGCCCTTGATCTAAAGCCGTAATAGTCAGAGGAGTTGCATGATTGGATCCCCCCAGTATATAGAGATTTTAGTTCCACAGGGAGGAAGTCTCTCACCAGGAGAAAGGACCATGGTTCTGTTAGACTGGAAGTTAAAGTTGGACTCCTACCTCTAAATCAATACACAGAAGGGATTTATTGGCTGATTGGGGTGACTGGTGCTTAGCTATGAAGAGACACACCCTAGTGTCTACAAAGGAGTATGTATGGATTCCAGGAGGCTCCTTAAAGTGTCTCTTAGTAATACCATGATTATAAAGTCAATGCTAAAACAACCACCCAATCCAGACAAGACTCCCAAAGCCCAGACTATTCAGGATGAAGGTTTGAGTCACACAGCAGGTAAAGGACTATACCAAGGTGAAGTTCTGGCTAAGGGCAAAGGAGGTAGTGCATGGAGAGTAGGAAATGGTTATAAATGCCAGCCATGATCAGGTGACCAGGGACCAAAGTGAAGACTGTAATTTTCAAGAAAATTCTCATTTTATTGTTTTATGTGTGCTTAAATATGGCCTTGATTTTCTTCCCTCCTTTATCCTCTCTCACCATGTAAGATGAAATTTATCAACTTTACAGCTTTGTAATTAATATTATTCACTTTTTGAAGTAGTATCTTAAATAAGGGATATTTAATACCACTCATGGAATGCCAAGAAAATAATGAATGTGTTATTCAGTGTGCGTGTGTGTGTGTGTGTGTGTGTGTGTGCGCGTATGTAATAGTTATATAATGTAAGACACAAGTATGATTTTGCTATTGCCTTCATTTACATATTAATTATCATTTAGAGAGATGTACATGAATAGCAAATTGACAAAGGATTGGATTGGCTTGTGATGGTTACATTTAAGTGTCAAGTCAGTTAGGGCTCAGTGTCCATGTATTTGGTAAATATTCTTCAGATTAACATGGTAAGAGATTAACACTCAGAGTGGCAAATGTTGACTAAAGCAGTTTATACTTCATAATGCAAGTAAGAATCATCTATTTGAAGGACTGAAAAGAATTGGGGCCGACCTCTCATGACAAGAGGGAGTTTTGCCAGAAGACTGCCTTGGGACTAACACTGAAGCTGTCTGAGTCTAGAATCTATCAGTTTGCCCCCCATCAGTATTGATGCTTACCATGCATTCACACCTCCCATGAACCAACCACCAAAACTGCTCCTTCCTAGACAGATGCTCATATATATATATATATATATATATATACATACATACACATATACATATGCACACATATATGTATATATACATTCATATATATATACACATAGACATATATTTGTATATAAATTTATACATATGTAAGTACATAGGTGAATAGAGATATATAAATATATAGATAAAATACGCAGTTGTCCTTCAGTATCCACGGAGACTTGCTTCCAGAACCTTCCATAGGCTCACAAATATGCAGATATTCAAGTCCCTTCTATTAAACCCTAGAACATTTGCATACCTCTGCACATGCTCCTGTGTACTGTCAACTCTAGATTTTTTATAATATCGAATAGACTATAAATGTAATGTAAATAGTCATGCTTCTATATTGTCTGAGGAATGACAAGAAAAATGAGTCTCTATATATTCAATATACAGGTATTGTTTTCTTGAATATTTTCAATCTGCATTTAAATCCTACCTTCTTTATAGACAAAACTGTGAAGGATTACTTAAAGCATTCCATAACTTAAAGCATTATCTCTTTTCCTCATCAGCTCACAGTTTGGGGCTCCAAGTGTGTTTGCTGAGTTGGCAAGAAATGAGGAGGAGAATCCCACGAGACTATATCAAACTACAGAGAAGCCCAGGTACACCAAACAATAGGTAATTGCTCTCTAAAAGGCAGAGAAAAGATCTGCTGTTGACATAAACGTTTCCACATTGGAAAATGATTACTGGTTATTGTAAAGCCTCGGAATGTCCAACTCGGCTCTCCAGCTCATCAATACTAAAACCAAAGCATGCATTAGTATTCTTGTGGTTATTTATACCATAACATGTGGTTTTTATCAGTGGTGTTTATCAGTCCTAAGGGCTGACACTCTTCTACGATCACCCAAATGTTTCCTGCACCCCTCTTCCGTGCCATCTCTCCATCCCCTTGGAACACTTACAGCATACTTTCAGGTTCTACTGCACAAGCGCCGACGGCTTTTGTGACATTCACCAGGAGAGACTGGTTTATTCCAACCAGGAGGTTCACAAGTGGCTGAATGCCACCACATTTCCGGACAAGAACTCGGTTTTCGTGTTCATGGCAGCATTCTCCCAAGGCCCCAACCACATTTATAAGTACTTCCTCAGGCTGATCGGTTAAGAGTCCCACCAAAGTTTCGATGGCTCTGTATTCCCGAAACCTGAATTCAGAGAGAGAGACAGAGAGACAGAGAAGACAGAGAGAGAGGGGGGAGGGGGAAAATTAGTTGATGATATCAATAGTAAGAAAAGGAGCAGCTAAGAATTACCAAATACTTCATGTTCGTGCAACAACCCTATGATGGAGAGACTATTTAATCTCCACTGTCCAATGACTCAGCTGAAGCTTGATATATAGTAATATAGTAAGGCTGGTACCTCCTGACCCAGCCATCAGCTCAGACCTGCACCTGGGGTCACAAAACTGCACAGTCTCCAAGACAACTATTGTTTCATCCAACAAGTCTGAGCATCTGTGATTCCAATCTGCTAGTTTTGTGCTGCCTAACAGAGACAATTTTACAAGAAGAATACTAAATATTTAATGGAAATGAATTATCCTTTTAATCTATGCATCATTTTACCATACAGTCTTAAACAAAGTTATTTTGTGTTAGCACATGTGTTATTTCTTTTTATAGGAACTCATCAGGTAGAGACAAAAGCAGATGTTGTCTCAGAATATTCATGGAGTATAAGACCTCTGTAGATGAAGAGATAGATCTGAAGATTAAAATAAAATTTACAATAAAACAATGCAATCATATTTGAAAATAACTCTTCTTTGATTTTTTTTTGAGATAGGTTTCAAAGGGCTCATTCAGGCCTGGTCTTAAATTCATGATCCTCCTCCTGCCTCAGCTTCCCCAGTACTGAAATTACAAGTGTATGCTACCAGGCCCAGCTAAAACTGACTACTCTATAAGAGTGGATGGTTAGCATTCAGAGGACTCATCTCTTTTTCTTAGAAAAGGAAAAATAATGAAACTACTTCTATGTCTAAAGGTTCAGTGAGCCATTCATTCCTTCACTCGGAAACCTAAGAGATGTCTAGCTTACATGGCTGTCCAAATGCAAAACAGCCTATTCACAGAAAGATCACATATATCAGCAAGCTCTACTGAGGCTTATAAAGTTATTGATAAGCCAGGCATTGGTGGCTCACACCTGTAATCCTAGCTACTCAGGAGGCTGAGATCTGAGGATTGCAGTACAAAGCCAGCTTGGGCAGCAAAGTCCATGAGACACTTATCCCCAATTAGCCACCAAAAAGCCAGAAGTAGAGCTGTGGCTCAAATGTAGAGTGCTAGCCTTGAGCAAAAAAAAATCCTAGTGCCCAGGCCCTGAGTTCAAGACCCAAGGCCAGTACACACATACACACACACACACACAACACACACACACACACACACACACACACACACACACACCCCTAAGGTGTGGGCAGCAGTACAGTCAACTCTTTATGAAAGCAAGATGAAATTACAGACAGTGTTTCCTGGCCACTTGAACGCCTTCTCTTACTTGGTTACATTCTCCTTGCTGATAGAGCATTTCCATATTGCCCCTGTGACAGCAGCTAATCGTTCTTTATTATCCGTCTTCTTCAGTAGACTGGCCAGGGGTTTAAGCCCTCCATGCTGCCTAACCAGGTCACGAGTTTCCTCATCTTCAGCACACTGTACAGAAAGGGAGATATCAGAGGTCAAAACATCTTGAGCACTGGGCACTTAATGGCTCATGCCTATAATCCTAGCTACACAGGAGGCTGAGATCTGAGGATCAGGGTTCAAAAACCAGCCTGAGCAGAAAGGTCCATGAGACTCTTATCTCCAATTAACCACCAGAAAACTGGAAGTGGCACTGTGGCTCAAAGTGGTAGAGTGCTAGTCTTGAGCAAAAATAAAGCTCAGCAACAGCTTCCAGGCTCTGAGTTTAAGCCCCATAACCACTAAGTAAATAAATAAACCTGCCCATTCAGTGATTACTGAAGAGTCTGGCATTCTATAGATCCTCCTCAACTTACTATGGATTTGTCACTTTCCAGATGGTACAAAAGCAACAGACACCAATTAGAATCCATTTTGGCAATTTTGAACTCTGACCTCTTCCTGGATCACAGGTTGCATAATGCTCTCTCGTGAAGCCAGCTGGCAGCAGCATGCCAGGCATATAAACACATACAGGTGACTGTAATCTTCTGAGATTACAATGATGAACCACCAATCAACACCCTACAGTATACGAAATCGCCAAGCCCCATTATTTAGCAAATAATGTATATTCAAAGCATTTGTGATTTACAATATTTTCAATTTGCTATGGATCCATCATCAAAATGTCACCTCATAAACTGAGGAGTGTCTGTGGTAAATACCAAACACCTTTTCCAAGAATATTATTTCTGAAGGTGCCTCCAAGTAGGACAGAATTCTTTCCCACACTGGCAGCAATCTGACAATGTTTCTCTCTCTCTCTCTCTCTCTCTCTCTCTCTCTCTCTCTCTCTCTCTCTGTGCATGATTCTAGGAAGCATAGAAGTTTCTACAGACTTGGTCATTCTCCCAAGCTGCTTCTGAGGTAGCCTGGCTCCCACTGAGCAATGACAGGTCAGGAACAAACCCACACTGGCCTGTACTTGGATGAGGATGTCCACAGTAGAACAACCAGAATCTTGGGGAATGTAGTAGAGAAGATAGAGATGTAAAGTAATACTCAGGCCTTTCATCTAGAGATGAAGAATTTTCTCAATGAAGTCTCTTGTGCTCTTGGGTTCTGTCCATTGTGCCTAGCATTTTATTCAAACATGTTTACCCATCTTTGTGTCATCCCTCGAAATAGTTATATATGTATATATAATATAGTAATATATTATTAATAATTACATTATAAATATATTATGTATAATCTATAATGTATATATACATTGCACACACACTCCTAACTGGTCACTCTTCTCAGGCTATAGACCCAGTAGATGATAAAGTTATAAAGTTAGTATAGGCTTTTCTTTTTTACTATCATTATTATTGTTGTCATTTCCAGATGCCTGGTGAATGCCACTAGATGAATTCTTTATCATCATGTGCCACAGAGGTAAGCCTGCCATGTTTTCCCTCCAAGTATAATTTTTGATTTGGGTTCAATGGTGAATTTTGAAAATTAAATACAATTTCTAGCCAACTCTTAATGGTCATTCCTGTGGAAGTGTTTGTGTGTGTGTGTGTGTGTGTGTGTGTGTGTGTGTGTGTGTGTGTGAAGGCTATATATTCTTACTTACTAAACTGTGCCTTCTCAAAATTCATATGTTAAAAGTCCTAACACCTCTAAATATAGCTGTATTTGAAGACTGGGTCTTTGTACAGGAAATTAAAAATTAAATAAGATCACTGGGATGGGCCCTAATCCAATTTGGCTGCTTTTCTTATATAAGAAGAAGAGAAGATGCAGACATACACAATGGAAACATGACATGAAGACACTAAAAGATGGCTATGAGCCAAGGAGAGAGGCCCTCAGAAGAAATTAACCTTGCTGACACCTTCATCTAGGAACTTCCAGCCTTCAGGACTATGAAGGGATCACAAAACTCAGCAAACAAATACAGCCCCCAAAGGAAGTGCACCCTGTCTTTGCCTCTGAATTTTCACTGCATTCTCTCATTCTGCATATCCTATGTGTATTACTGATTAGGTAGAAGCTGCATGGTCAGTAACCAGCCAGACACTCATTTGTAAATGTCATCTCTCCTTCTTGGCCATCCTATAACCTATTCTCTATGAAATTTATAATCCACAAAAGTGAATTTAAAGTGGGCTGGATAACAAAATAAATAAATAAAAAGATGTAATAAGAATACACATGTAGGGCTGGGAATATGACTCAGTGGTAAAGTGCTTGCCTTGTATGCATGAGGTCCTGGGTTCAATTTCTCAGCACCACATAAGCAGAAAAAGCCAGAAGTGGTGCTGTGGCTCAAGTGGTAGAGCACTAGCCTTGAGCTGAAGAGCTGAGGGACAGCGCCCAGGCCCAGAGTTCAGGCCCCACAACCGACAAAAAAAAGAATGCACATGTATTCATTGATCTTGTCTCCAAAATATAGAAGAAAATTATCCTAAGATAATTGACTTTGAACAGAATGTGTGTAAATGAACACAGGAGTTTCCTATACTTACTTTGACTATCATATCCTAAGTAATTTATCTTTTAGGAGATGATGAGAGATGTAGGTCTTATAAAAAGTTGGTAATTAGATCCATGTAAGCATGCTTCTCTGTAACATATATAAATACAGTAATATCCACCATTATTCTAAGAGATAATGGTTCTTAGATCTGCACAGACATGAAAATCCTGGGAAAATTTAGGGGAAGATTCTTGTGTCTTCTCCCTCCCCCAAGAGAAGGAGATCACGTGTTTAAAACACTGCCCTGGACTATATGCAAAAGAGACGCAGCCACTAAGGGGAAATGGCTCCCACCTGGTAGATGGCCATGGCACAATGCTCCTGCAGCTGCTCATTCTCGCTATTCAGGTTCTTCACAAGGTTTTCAATGATCCTTTCTGCTTTGATTGCAGCTCGATAGTTCTCCTAGGCATATAAAGTTAAGTATTTATGTGTGTCTAATGAATAAAAAACTATATCAATTTGCATTTCTTCATAATCACGAAGAACAGAGACTGAAGTCAATGCTTAACACATCTATACAGCAGTCTGAATTCATCCACGGTGGAAAAACCATATTACACAGGTACTGATTTCATAAATATACTATGGGTTCCATTTTCTTTTTCTAAGAAAGCAAAGAAAACTCAAGTGGTTTGCATACCTCTGATGCACACTCTTGCAACGTGCCCACCACTGGAATGAGCATGTTTTCATGAGACGTCTTCAGCAGCCGAGCCAACAAAGGGATGCCTCCAGCTTTACGAATGGCTTCTTTGCTTGAGTGACTCTTACTACAGCTCCACAAGGCCAGCGCCCCACAGCGAGCCACTTCCACGTCTCTAGTTTCATACAAACTCGGCAGAGTGGGCTCAGCTGTACTCTGTCCACAATCTAATAGAGCCACCTACATGAATAGACATATACCATGTACATGGACCTCATTCAACCAAAACTCATCCTGCAATTGCTAGAGGGTTGCTGAGGGAAGGAGTGGGTGGGGAGGGATGAATGAGATGACATTGAACAAGACACATTGTATTCATTAACAGCTTTGTTGTTTGGCAACGCCTTTGTATAATTATTTAAAGAAAACAAAAACATAGCTCAGCTGGGTGCTGGTGACTCACACCTGTAATTCTTGCTTCTCAGGAGACTGAGATCTGAGGATTACAGTTCGAAGCTAACCTTGGCAGGAAAGACCAGGAGACTCTTATCTCCAATTATGACCCCCCCCACACACACACCAAAAAAAAAAGCTAGAAGTGGTGCTGTGAGTGTTAGAGCACTAGCCTTGAGCAAAACAGCTCAGGGACAGCTCCCGGGCACTGAGTTCAAGCCCAAGGACACACACACACACACTCTCTCACACACACACACACACAAAACCCCACCCCAAGTACATGCTAAAATCCATATTCATTTAATAAATGCTTGTTGCTTCTTCATGGGGGTAAGAAGGATTATAGAGAAAACTTGTCTCTCATGTTAAGAAATGGAGGCCAGAAGTAGAGACAATCTGCAAGATAAAGGCTACCGGAAGAGACCTGGGAACTAGTGACCCTAACTAAGAAGATACGTTTCTAAGTACATTGACTTCTTCAGCATCTCTGCTGGCGTGGCAAAGGTGAGGAGAATGCAGAATTGTTTTCTTTCGCTGGTAGTTCTTAAGATAACCTTTTTTTTTTCTGATTACAAAAGTAAGATAGACAAATTTGCCTATGTAGAGAAACACATTTCTAGATTTTTTAACCAAAATATTGGTAATCATTTTAGAGACACCTGTGAACAATTTTGTGTACTTCTGGTATGCATCTCTAATTTTGTGTATATGTTTCTAGATGGCTGGGGAACTCCTTCAAACTTAGGATTGTGCTGGGGGGATCATGTGACTTAGGTGGTAGAGAACTTGTTCAGCGAGCACAAAGCTCTGATTCAAACTTCACTACCACAAATATATTGAAGATCATAGATGCAATACATCATATTATAGAATATGTATTTTAGTCCTTACAACTAAATATCCTTTCCAAACACAATAGTGACAGCTGACTACAAATGGTTGATTATTTTTGTCAGTTGTAGGGCATGGACTGGGGGCCTGGGCACTGTCTCTGAGTTTTGTCACTCAAGGTAGTGTTCTACCACTTGTACTTTGAACCACAGTGTCACTACTGATTTTCTGGTGGTTAACTGGAGATAAGAGTTTCACAGACTTTCCTGCCCAGGATGGCTTTGAACCATGATCCTCAGATCTCAGCCTCCTGAATAGCTAGGGTTACAGGTGTGAGCCATAGGTGTCCAGCTTTCCAGATGATTTATTATGGGCACACCCATAAGTATTTTACTGACTGAATACTGTGAGCACCCAAGCTGTTTGCACCTCTCAGTCTCAACCCACAGAGTTGAAAAAGGGCTTTCAGTCTGACTGTCCACTTGGAGATCACATCAGCAGTCTCAGAATTGCCATACTGGGTCCCACTTTCCAGAGATCAATCTGTCCTACCCTACTCCTTTCTTTTCTTTTCTCTCTTTCTTCTTTCTTTCTTTCTTTCTCTCTTTCTGTCTTTCTTTCTTTCTTTTTCTTTCTGTGGTGCTGAAGATCAAACTCAGGGCCTTGTGCATGGTAGACAATCACCATACTACTGATTATATCCCCACTCTTGGAATCACCATTTCTTACCATCTCTGTTCATATTCGTAAACAGATCCCTACCAATACCCTAGGTGTCCATTCTATACTTTAAAATGTCTCTATTTTTCAAAATGAAGTTGAACATGCTGTTCGGGCCACGTGCTAATATAAGTACACCAAACTAATTCTTATCGACATCCAACAGTCAAAGAACACTGCAGAGATGTGGCATTTATAAAGGCTCAACAGTAACCCCAAGTCCCGGGAGGTGATGGCCCCGTGGGTGGCGGCTCAGGCCCACTGGCCATGTCCGTCCATCAGTACTCACCAGTTTGTTAATGCCCCCGTGTTGCCTCACTACCCTCCGGGCTCTCTTGAACTTGGCAACGTTTGCGATGGTTTCAGCTGCCAGACACTTCAGACTCTTGTGTGGAGAATCGAGGATGCTAACCATAATTGGTAATCCCCCAAGGTCAACAATATTGCGTCTGATTTGAGGATTATGACTGATTTCCTTCAGGATTTTTAATGAACCAATCTACACGGGAAAAATGTGATTGATGAATGAACGCTTAACATATAACCAGCGCAGTGTTTTTAAAAAGTCTAAGCCTACCTAAAGTCCTTCCTCAATTAAGTTCGTTAAGAAATAGTTTCCATCCCCAGAGGCTGCACACATCCTCCATCTTTTCCTTCATTTGGGTAAACAAACACCATCGGTCCAGAAACACAAGAAATGAATGGAAAAGACGAAGTGAAGGAAAGAAAAAAAAAGACAAAGAGAAATCGACAGCACAGTGAGGCACCCTTGGCTCACACTGATAATCCAGGAGGTGGAAATCGGAGGATCTTCATTCCAAGCCAGCCTGGGTAGAAAACCTGAGCGACTCTTAAACAAATCTAAGAGCAAAAGCCAGAAGTAGTTGAGCACTTGAGTGAAAAAGAAGCTAAGCTAGAAGGAGAAACCTTGAGTTCAAATTACAGTACTAGTACAAAAAAGAAAAATGTTGGGGAGGGAAGGGGAGAAGAGGGGAGGAGAGAGAGGAAAGGGAGGATAAAGGGATGGGGAATGAGAAATGGGGGGATAAAGGATGAGGGGATTAGACAGGGGAAAGAAAGGGAGGGAAAGGGAGAGAAAGGGAGAAGAGAAAGGAAGAGGAGGCAAGAAGAGGAGAGAAGGAAGGAAAGAGAGGAGGGGGGAAAGAGAAGAGGAAGGGAGGGGAGAATAGCAGAGAAGGGGAAGGGAAAGGAGGGGAGAGGAGAGAAGGGAAAGGCAGAAGAAAAAAGGAAAATGGAAGAGAGAGGAAAGGAGAAAGGGAGGGAAAGGAAGGGAGGGGAGGAGAGAGGAAAGGAGATAGGAAAGAGAAAGAGAAAGGAAGGGAGGGGAAAAGAACAGAGAAGGAAAAGAAGAAGAAAGAAAGGGAAGGAATGGGAGAGAAAAGGAGGAAGGGAAGGGAGGGAAGAGAAGAGGAGAGGAGAAACTGACAATAAATCATACAGATGCATAGAGCTTGAAAGACATCCAAACGTGAGCTGAGTCCAAAACCCCTCTGCCATTGCCACAAAGCCACTCACCTTACATTTGACTTCATCTGTATCAAGCAAATTTATTAAAACTTCCAGGCCTCCAACATCTCTGATAGCCAGCTGACAGGTCTCTTGGGATAAGTTGAAATCCCTCATTGAACACAAAGCAATCACTGTGGCTGTCTGATTTCCACCCTACAAACAGGCAAGACCGAAGAATGGATAAAAGAAAACCATGTTCCTATAGAAATCTACTATGTAGATAGTTAGGACAGCATGGAAACTAAGAAATGTTTAATGTACTGTACACATTAAATTTTTAAGTTCTCGGATTGGGCTCTAATTTGTTAAATAAATCATGCCAGGCTGAAGCATGAAAAAGCTGTGCAGAGCATCATAAAATGTTCTTCCAGTTAAGAGTCCTAATTTAAATGTGCCCTGTCTCTTTCAAACAGCTGCAACTTTAGGTGATATTAAAAGATTAAAGAGAGTCAAAGGACAGACCTCCACCACGGCTGCAGAATGGAAGCTGTACATCGAGGTAACCGGATGGTCTCCCAGTTCTTGTTCAATGAAATCACAGCTGAAAATTATTCTTACAAACTATCGTATCGAAAGACATATACATTTGGTCTTTTTATCCATGATTTTTGGTATGTAATCCTAAAATCATTCTATAATCCTCAAGGAGCTCCACCTCTTTTGCATGTTAATTAGTTGGCTGGTGGTTGACCGGCCTGCCCCACGGAACTTCAGGATATAGACAGGTCACTAGAAAGACCAAGGTAGCAATAAAGAGTTAAGACATTCAACTTCACTCCTTGAACTCTGGGACCTAAGAAGGGCCAAAGTCTGATTATTAATGTCCAAGGATTTCATCAATCATGCCTAGAGAATAAAAAAGCCTCTATAAGAGTCCTGAAGAACAGAGCTCAGGAATTTTCTGGATCACAGAACACTTGGAACTTCGTGGAGGGTAATATTCCCACACAGGACATGGCCCCCATAGCTTACCAATCTCTTCATCAACATTCTGTGGAAATATGGTTTATGCTAGACCAGAAAAGGTGTTTCCCTAAGTCCTGTGAGCTGCTCTAGCAATTGAGTCAAACCTGAGGACTGTTGTGAAAACCTCAACCCACCGCCAGCCAGCCAGGAGTACAGGTCCCAACAGGGGCTTCTGATTGGCAGCTGGTGTGTGATGACTGAGCCACCAACATGTGGCATCTGACAGGATCTCCAGGTAGAGATCTGCTTCCAGGTGGGGCCAAGTGTTCTGGAAAAATCACCATGCCTTCTGAGACGTCTCTGGATTGAGTGTTAGAGGATGAGAGCTTATCCATCATCCCCTACACATAGATATATGCCAACATGGTGGGTGTAGGAAACTTGGAGAAAGGGAAACAGTGTAGAAGGCAGCAGAGAATGGAGACTGAAACAGGGACAAGAAGGAATTATAACTATGGGAAAACAGGAAGCAAGTCCGCTAGCACCTGGGGATGATGGGTGGGATGAAGAAAGAAAAAGTCCAACTCCATGGTTGTGATAAGCTAGCCCAACATAATCCCATGATTCATCAGGGCACCTGATAAGCAGAGGTGAGCTATTCCTTTAAAAGTGCAAACACCATCACCAACAAAAAATTTAAAAAGTGAATGAATGATCTGTGAACCAGATCAGCCAGGAAATTAAAAGCAGAATTCACTCTAGGAATTTTTAAGCCATGTCCACTGGTCATTACTACTTTGCAAATTCTCTGGAGAACATGGCTGAGTAAACATGAGATCTGCTGCTATTTCAGGGGGTGCTCAGTGGGAATTTTGGCATAAGACACAGAAGCCATGTTTCTGTGGGGCAAACAGTGAATTAATTTTGAAAAGGATCTCACGAACAGCTACCTTTGCTCCTGCTTTAAAACCACATCAAAATCTCAAATCTCTTTTAAAATTTCTTTTCAAAGGCAGGGAACCTTCAAATTACATTTATTTTCTTCACGGGTCATTTTATGTTGTCATTATCTATTTCATAAATTTTATGTAAATATATATGTAATTACATAGTGCTGGGAGTTAAATGTCTCTGTATGAACTCGTGCAGAAATGTGGTTGCCCTTCAAATAATGAATACTAGCCAGAGCCAGTGGCTCATCCCATAGTTCTCGCTACTCAGGAGGCTGAGATTTGATGATCACAGAATAGAGCCAGTCTGGGCAGAAAGATCTGAGAGACTATTATCCCCCAATTAGCCAGCAAAAAGACAGAAACCATGGGCAAAATAGCCAAGCAAGATAGCAAGGCCCTGAGTTCAAGCTCCAATATTATTACCAGCATAAAATAAGAGATGACAGCTAGGTAAGGAGAACTCTGCACTCATGAATAATTTAATAGCATTGTCAGGGAGTGGCTCTTTTTTATGAGAGTACATTTTCACATCCTTACCAGGTTATGATTCAAGAAGGCCCTCACAAAATATGAGGCTGTACACCTCAGAATCATAAATGAGTTCCTTTTTGCTTTCTTATTTTTCATGGTACTGGGATTTGAACTCAGGGCCTTATGGTCTCAGTTTTCTTGCTCCCAACTGGCTCTCAGATGCTTGAGCCTTGCGTCTAGTCTAGCTTTTTTTCCTAGTTATTTTAAAGATGGAATCTAGTAGATTTTTCTGTTCCATCTGCCTTCAAACCTGGATCCCCTGGTCTCAGCCTCCTGAGTAGCTAGGATTACAGGCTTACTTTTTCTTGATAAATTTTGAGAAAAGACCCTTCTATGTAACTCATGCTAACCTCCAACTCACAATCCTACTGCTTCAACCTCCTGAGTTCTAGGATTACAGGTATGTGCTACCATGCCCAGCTGATATCTTTTCCTAACAAGTTACTCAGTCTTCATATTCTGTTATGACATCATAAAATGGGCTGAAATATATAAGTAGATAATGTAATATCAAGAAATCTATAAGTGTTTTACAATTATGTTAAAATACAGTTTACATTATATGAATAGTATTTAATATATATAAATAAAATTAAAATTGTATTTATATAATACATATGTACACCTGGCCTGGCACATCGAAGCTGTCACCTTCTCTCCTTAGATCACTCATGGACATAGACAAATCCTTCGTGAATTCAGTATAACTTATGACTTTTAAACTGAAAGGGAATTAGTCGAGGCCATGCATTGAAACATGAAGAAGGAAATAGTCTTCAGCCTTTCCTCTTGTTCCTTTTGTGCTGATCTCTTCCACTTCTCTAGTTGCTATGAATAACAGCTCTGTGGTGACCTCGCTGACAATAGCCACTTGTCACTTGACCCTGCCCTCTGAGGGTGCTCAGGACTGCCCTCCTGCTCCACATTATGAAATAAAACAGGTTGTTTTATTTAGCACTTAGCATCTTCTTATTGTCAACGGAATTCTTATCCTAACCATTTTCTTACTGTTGGTATCAAAATTTAAAATAATAATTCTTCTGTGTCTTACTGTCAAGTTATTAGCTCTCTTGCTTGGGAGTACATGACTCATACATGCTAGCACCTCTCTGTCTCCTAATTCAAGATCCTTGTTTTAAATATTTTAATTGTCTTTACATAGTTGCACAAAGGGGCTTCAATTCAACATGTCAGTTTATGAGTCCAGTTTCCATTTCTCCTCTAGAAAAACAAAAGGCATGCACCATAAAAAGTATACATGTTAACTGGAAATAAGAGAAATTAAATGACACATAAAAAGGAAAAGCCAAAAGAGAGTGAGAGAAAGAGAGAGGGAGGGAAGGAGAGAGGGAGAGAGAGAGAGAGAAGAAGAAAAACAATTTCTTCAACAAAGTTCTATAAAAGAAAAGCAAAATAAATGACCAAAAGGAGCCAGATAGTCCTGGGAGGGTTCTGAAGGAACAGAGCTAGGTTCCTGTATTAAGAGAGAAGAAGATTCAACCAAAAAGTTCTGGCAGAGGGAAAACATCCAGCAGAGGGAAGACTTTACATTAAATACTTCCAGGAGAGGGAAGACTTCTGGTACAGGGAAGACTTCCGGCGGAAGACTCAGACCTAAGCATGTCTAGGAAGCACAGACAGCAAGGCACAAGACATTAGGCTTCAGTCAAACCAAGAATATACTCCCCCTCCCCACAAGACTTCTTCGTTGCAGACAAATTGTTACCCACACTGACTTATGCAATGCCAACGACATTCTTCCTTGCTATTCTTGCTTCTTAATATTTTCTTCTCTTACATACTCAGTGCAATTTTAGCATCCTTTTCCAAGGTGCCTTAATCTTTTGCTTCTAAACTATTTGTTTTATTTATACTATAACCACTAACATACATTCTTTTTTTTTTGGGAGGGGGGTCCGGTCATGGGCCTGAACTCTGGGCCTGTGAGCTGTCCCTCAGCTCTTCAACTCAAGGCTAGCGCTCTACCACTTGAGCCACAGCACCACTTCCCGCTTTTTTTTCCTGCTTCTGTGGTGCTGAGGAATCGAACCCAGGGCCTCATGCATGCAAGGCAAGTGCTCTACCACTGAGCCACCTTCCCAGTACCATACATTCATTTTTTGAAAGTCATTTTATTGTAGCAGATGCATAAAAGGTAGTTTATTTTTTCTGAATTTTTTTAAATATCTAGACCAATTTTGCAATCAAAAGACTGACATTTTACATTTAGATCTTTATAGAAAAAAATTCTCTGTAAATCAGCTTTTTCTTTTATTTTTGAAAATCTGGAAACATATTCACAGACTTGAGGGATTTTTTTAGAACAGTTTTATATTAGGAAAAGTTAGTTTTTCCACATTTCAGGATTTAGTTCTACTCTTGTCACTGACCACGCTCCCAAAAGGACTATAAATCTTTCAGAATGAATACCAGAAGGCAGGAGCCAAAATATTCAACATACAGAGCCACAAATATTAGCCAATTGCTATTCTTTAAATACCAGCTATGTCAAAGGATTTTGAATGCTCCTACTTTGACCAGACACAATAAACATCTAACCAAGGAGAAGCAGCATAAATATGCTCCTTTTTAAATGAAATTTCCCAAGAACATAATTAAATTCCAATACTTTTTTTTTACACTTTGTCACACATTTGCATTTGTGAGATTTTAAGAGCTGAGGAAAACATAATAAAATATTATTTTACTAGAAGGGTTTTGAAAAAAAATGTTTCCAATGAACTTTTCCATTTCTGAAATCAA